AATGTCGGTAGGCTGTGCGCTGTGGCTCACTCCTGTAGTCCCAGCACTCTGGGAGGCCAAGGCGGGAGGATCACTCGAGGCCAGGAGTTTGAGGTTGCAGTGAGCTATGATGACACCACTGCACTCTAAAAAAAAAAAAAAAAAAAGACTCGGAAAAAAAAAAAAAAAAAAATGAGAGAGTAACCAACTGTGTCAAATGATGCTGATAAGTCAGTAGGATGAGGACTGAAAATTTGTTACTGGATTTGATAAAAGGGAGAACTGGAGACCATAATGAGACCAGTGTTAATAGAGTGTTAGAGGCAGAAAGCCTGATTGGAGTGTGTTTAACACATTGACTGCCACACTAGGAAAAAAAAAAAAAATTCCCAGGGCCATGGTGTTTTATTAAAACAAAACTATCCTTTTTAATTTGTTGTTTCTTATTGTTTTCTGTGCATGTGTTATATGCAACACAATCCATCTTTTTAGGGTTAATTTGTCAATATTAATTGTAACAATAAGAACATCAACAAGGAAGATTTTCACGAACCAACTGCAGGGTTTTCTTCACGCAGCCCTGGGCTCAAAACTAGCCTGAGTTAAATACAACTCACATGGCAGTCAATGTGTTAAGAGCAAATGTGTTGGAAAGGAAGTGGATCCCGTCTGAGTCTTATATATGAGAGAAAGGGGATGATGGCTCTGTGGGAATGTGGGGTCAAAGGCTTTTTAGGGTTTTTTTTCCTTAAGATGAGAATAGTACATGACATTTTTATTCTGATGGGAACAAGCCAATGAATAGAAAAAAATGATGCATAAGAAAAGGAAAATAATTTTCAGAGCAAGTTCTTGATTCCAGGGGTTAGGGAGATTGGGAGCAAGGGCCCATGTGGAGAGCTTGGTTTAGAAAAATGGACAGTTTATTCATTGTAACACAATGGAGGACAGAGTGTAGAGGAGCAGATGTAGGCTAGTTGGTCAATTCGGTGGACACAGGTGGAAAGCCTTTCTGATCACTGTTGTCTTCTTGAATCAGATAGGAAAGGAAATATTGAAGATTTGAGAAGAGCAGCAAAACGGGTATGAAATGATCATCTCAAAGAATAAGGTACTGGATTGACTTGGACAGTAGATTTCCAAATGTGGTCCCCAGACCTGCAGCATCAGCATCTCCTGGCAATTTGCTAGAAATGAGAAATTTGGGCCATGCTCTAGACCTCCTGAGTCAGAAACCCTTAGATTATAGCTAAGAAATCTGTGTTTTAATACATTCTTCCAGTGATTCTTTTGCAGATTCTGGGTGAGAACTGTAACCAGCTCCATATGCAAAAAATATTTTTTACAGGTTTTTTTTTTTTTTTGTAGTTCTCTTATGTTTCAAGTTCCCAGGTCAGTAAGATTTGCTGACCAGGACTTTGAAACTTTCTGTTGCACTGATGCATTCTCTTTTTAGTTTATTTCCCAGAAATGGTGGAGCCTCCTTGCAGGCACAAGATAACTACAAAGCCTTTCACTGCCAGTTTGTCTGGAGAAGACAAGATAAGAGATTCTCCACCACAGATTGTGCCCAAGGACCCACTGAGCAGGCGCACAAGGCTGAAAGAATGACCAATATTAACCTCTAGCTCATTATAATACAAAATCTCCACCCTGGGAGGGACTTATCCACCATTTTTTTGATCATGGGACATATGTAGTAGCATGATTTCTCACTGCGCTTGCATGCCCTGCACTCCAGCCCAAACATGTAATGATGCTCACTCTTCTCATGCAATATTCACTTCACTCTCAGAAAAACCCTTGACCCTGTTGATCGGAGAGGTGGATTTGAGGCAGTTTATACCTCAAATCCCTCCTCCCAGTAGACACATGTCCTGAAATAAATCTTTTCTTCTTTGACAATCCTTGTTGTCTTAGCAATTGGCTTTCTGTGTAGCGAGTAATATTGAACCTCCCTTGTGGGTTTGTTAACAGAACCATCAGACTGGGAAAATGCAGTTAGGATTACTAAGAGGACATTTAAGACTTTTGGTAATAAATTTAAATGAAACTTGTCAGCACAGTTGTATGCTTTTCTTTGCCTACACTGAAATTAGGCAGAGTTGGGTATAATCATGATGAGTTTACCAGGTGAGTATTATGCCAGAATTATCATATTAATAGATCATGAAGTTGTCTAGAAGCTAGACAACTAGGGTCAAAAAGCAGCCAGAAGGTACAAGAGTGACACCTATACACTTCTGAGTCCATGGGAAATGAAAGAAGCAGCCACCGCTGCTGGAAAAGCAGTGTCCTCAGTGGACAGCCAGATTTCCCTTACAGCAAAAAGGTAAGGGAACCTTTAGAAAGGAGGTTACAGATATGTGAATTTTGCTGTTGCTAAGTTATGAGTTATAAATGGTAGGGTGGAAAGGTTTGGGGAATGGTAGGGTGGAAAGGTTTGGGGAATCGGTGATGAGAGGAAAAATGAGTCAGATGAGGAATTTCTAGAACATATTGGGGTAAAAATCAGACAGATGACCTAGAGAGCTTGGGCTTTTATGTAAAGTGTGGCAAACAGGGTGTAAAGCTTAATTGGAGTAAATGTGAAAAATCCATCTTGGCTATAATTTCTTCCTTGAGACTTATCTTTTTGGGAGGTTGTATTGGTAAAGTGGGGATGTTTGGCAGTGAGCTTGCTAGAAGTGCTTGCACTTTGTGGGCTTGTCCTTCACTCCTGCAATGGCAAATGTCAAGGCTGGGGAGAGGTGGTCTGCTGAGCACACAGATGTCTGTGGGTCCCCTGTAGAGTTCAGAATCTGACGACTTCTCACCTCCTCCAGGGCTGCCACCCTGGTCCCAGGCACTACTGTCTCTCACCTGCTCTATCGCAGAAGCCTCCTAACTGGTTTCCCTGTTTCCCTGGTTTCCCTCGACCACAGTCTATTCCTCACTCCACAGGCAGACTGATAAGTTGAATTACTTCAGTCCTTTGTTCAAAACTCACCAGTGACTTTCTATTACGTTCACGGAAAGAAAAAATCCAAAGTCCTCACCAGACCTACAAACCCTTTTTGCAGATTCTGGGTGAGAACTCCCTATTTCCTATTTCCTCCCCACCCCCATTGTTTTGGTTCACTTCAGCTACATTACCTCCTTGACATTCTTCAAACACAAGAATACCCCTTCCTCAGGGCTTTTACTCTCATACAGCCTTCTCTGCCTGGACCATCCTTCTCCCAGGGAATTGCATGTTCAGTCCTCCTAATTCATTCTGATTTCTGCTCAAATGTCACCTTTTCAGAGAGGCCCTCTCCATTCACCCTATTTAGGATAGCTTATCCTGATTCCTTTTTCTTCATAGCACTTACTGCCACCTAACGTATCTATAAGTTAATTTGAATAGTATCTTGTGTCTATATTCAAGAAAGAAAGTAAACTTTGTAAATAAATGATCTTTGTTTTTTCATTGCCAGTTCTTCAATGCCTAAATCAATATTGACTTAGTAGCTTACGGCTACAGCGTACTGAATTATTTAATAATTGAATAGCTGAACTATTATACAATTGGTTGCATATCCTGCCAGGCTGGGATACTCCAGGTGAGGCAGGAAGAGGAGAAGATGAGGCCTTAGCAACTGTGCAAAACACAAGCTACAAACATAAGCTATGCTGAAGGATGTGATATTCTTGGAATTTGCTGTGCCCCATGGAGGGCTGGGTTTGTGGTGACTGGAATATGCAGTGAGAGTGGCAGCGGCTAGATCTCTGCGTGCTAAACAGAGAGTAGTGACAGCCCATCAAAGTCCTTTAACTGTGGCAATGGCAATTAGTGTGAGGTTCTGATGATGGTCACTGCTCATCGGCACCTGGCTGATGTGTGAATTCTTCCTACTCTGGCCCACCAGTTTATTCCTTTTTCACTTTCAGACTTGAATAGTTTGGTTTTGAGAAATCAAGACAGCCTTTATGACTAAATAGGTGGGTCTATCTATGTAATATGTCTCCCTTTCTATATGGATATGTTATTATTGTCTTTCCCTACATGTGGGTCTGTTTATGTGTCTCTAGGTGTTTGTGTGTATCTGTGTATGCACATGGCTGTGTGTACCTGTATGTTGACTCTATGTGCCTACATATGTAAATCTTTCACTGTGTGAGCTTGCATACCTGTGTACACCTGTCTGAGGCAACATATGCAGGTTTTTGGATATTCGAGCATGGTACATGAAACTGATTCTTTTTATCGCTATATTAATGTGAATGTGAAGTGCGTGTATTTGTGTGTTCCTGTATGTACAATTGGTAAGATAGAGATATCACACACAGTTGCGTTTTTGCAAAAGAAACAAAGCCAAACCTTGCGTGGGGGCAGGTAGGTGTAGCCTTTTTATTGACAGCTCTTCCAGCCATGGCCAATGATCTATTATTCGGTATAGAAAGCATTGGTTGGTAACTTCTATTCCGGGACTTCTGGCTGGAAGCATCAGAAGAGGTGGAAATGGCAGATGAGGTGGTCAAGTGGGTTAGCCAGCAGGTAGCAAGCAAACAGGTAGGCATGGTGGTTAGAATCCCTGGGACCTCTTGAGCTTATGGATAGCAGCACTGGTGTCCCTCTCAGTAGCAATAAGTGCCTGTAGATTAGCATGGTGGTTCTGGAATCCCATGGCCTGAAGGGATTCCATCTGCTTGCTGAAACGAATCTCAGGGGCTTGTAGAATGTGGGAAGGATCCCCATCCAGAGATTGTAGTCTCTATAGGACTGCTTCAGATTTATGGCAGCACTCAGGCCCTTTGGATTCAGTTATATCTGGAGCATTCCAGGGCCAGGGCACCGGGTGAGGGTAGCTGCAGCTTGGAGCAGGAAGCCAACCCAGGCCCCATAGGTAGGGTGAAACCCAGGGCAAAAGAATAGGAGCCTCTGTGGCCAACAGCTGGAGACCCTGCTCAATCTGCAATATTGCTTGTGATGCTTTAGGGTTTGCTAGGGCTGAAAGCAGGTCAGAAAGCTGTATCTGCTGCAGGCATGTGGGCAACTCCTACTGCCACTGTTCACTCAGCTGGGGCATACTCACAAACAACATCATCTGAGCTGCCAGGTAGGGATTGTTCATAAGCAACTGCATCATGCCTCCTGTGATCTGGGAGTTGGTCTGCTTATCCAACTGGAGATCATCTTTGAATCTCTGTTCGGAACTACTTAAAGAGATAGTGGCATCCTTGTCTTCATCCTGGGGCTGCTGGGTGAGCTCTATGCTAGGTAAGGCTGGTATCCCAGCTGGCTGATGAAGGGCACAGATGTGATTCTGTCCCTTGGTGGAAATAGTGGCAGTATTGGCCCTGGAAGTATGGTTGACCCTGTTGGAGGTTCCATTGGCTGAGGTGATTGAAGATAAACCACAAGACCTAGTATAGATGACTTGGGTTGTAGGAAGCTGTGGGAGCTGGTCCCGCCATTCCTGGGATAGTAATGGAGATGGGGGTGAGGACTTGAATTGATTCAGCACTTCTCCTGCCAGGAGAGCTATGAAACGATTGCTTTCAAAAGGATCTTGCCTGCTGTTGAGCAGTTGATCATTGAAATCCGCACAGCTCTGATCCAGGGCATTGTTCCCACCTGGCATTGTCTCTAAGTCCAGATATGGCTGTGGGTTCAGTGGGTGCTCATGGTTCTGTGCAGGTTGCTGTATCTGCATTATCTCTTGGATCATGGCAAGGTTCCTGGCCAGCTCCAGGGTCTGCGACAGGATCTCAGAATTGTCAAGGAGGAGGGAGACCTCTGGGTTTTGCTGCATCAATTGTTGCATGTCTGGGTGTTCTGAGATGAACTGCCGCATGAAGTTTGTGTTTGACAGAAGCCACTGGATGCTAGTATTCTCCAGCATCTGTGCTGTGTGCTCTGGACTGCCCACTTCCAGGTTCTGGGTATGCACCTCGGGTGCATCAGACTCCACAAAGTGAGCTGATTCCACTGGGGTTTGATTCACGCCATCAGGTTGGTGCACCCCACTGCTGTTTCCTTTGGTGTTTCTGTCCCGATGGTGGAAGGGCTCATTGGTTGGCAGGTTCGAGAAGGAATGGGCTAGGGATCTGGAGCCATGCTTGGATTTGATGACCAGGTGGATGGTGTGGCCATCCATGATGCCCCTCTGGCTCAGCGTGTCATGGTCTTTGAGAAGGCAGCCCATGAAAACCAGCACTAGTTGGTCCATTTGACATTGGAAGTGAGCCAATAGCTTCTCCTTGAACTGCCTCACTGAGGTGTTGTCACCTATCATAAAGTCTTTCTGGCTGCCTGGTGTCTTCACTATCACTCGAGTGACACTCAAAGAGGTATTCCTGTCTGTAGGTAGACCTGAAGGATGCCCACTCTGGGACGTCCTAGGCATTCGAGAGATGACATGCAGCATGGGCCTTAGTGAGTGGGCAGGCAGGAAGCAGGTGGAAACAGGGGCAGAAGGGGTGAGGGCAAGCAATGTTTCTGCTGGCCTTCGTCTCAGATATTATATTCTCAGGCCACAGGCTAGTTTCTTTGTTGCCCAAAAAGAGGTGAATGATTGGGCCAGGGCCAGGTATTTTGCGATGTTGTGCCCTCACCCCAGTTCTCCAGATGTGGCCCAGCCGAGGCCTGGTGTGGCTACTGATTCATACTTGGCCCAGGTGAACTAAATGGTGATGACTCCTCCCAGGGCTGCCCCTCCTCCTGTCCCACCCACCAAGGGCATGACATCTTCAGAAAAGGGATATTGTGATGTCAACCCTAGCCTCACAGTCTGCCTGGACTAGCTGAGGTTGCAGGACATATTTGGGAGAGTCTCTATAATAAAATAAAATAAGACAATTTTCCATAAAAATTGGAGACAAAGCTCTCAGGATGGAGCTAGTTAAAAAAATTAAATAAAAACCAGATTTTTAAAATGTTGGTAGGTGTGGGATTTCTGTGTGGTACTGTGTATAGGTCCCTTATAGGGATGTCAGACTTGTGTGAAAAGTTGCTTCTACTGAAGCCATATATAAAACCACATTCTTGTAAGAATACAGTCTCTCCCATAGGAAGGAGCTCATTAATTTTGTTAGTTATCTAAAAAAGGTGGGCCTTAGGAACATGTAGCAAGAATAAGGGACGTGGCGAAAAGTCCTTCTGTCTCCTGGCCATGGAGACTTATTGCCGTGTAAGGACGGCTCTCTGACACTAGCCTTCCTCAGTCTCCTGTCTAGATTTCTTAGCATTTTACTGTGTTTCTTCATCTTTTTTCCCCTGAAGTATTCAGAAGTGAATTATAGATGACATGACATTTTGCTCCTAAATACTTCAGCTCACATCTCTAAAAAACAAGAACATATTTCTGTATAACTGCAGTACTGGTTTCACAAAATCAAAAGTAATTGCCTAATGGACTCTGTTACCTGGTTGATTATCTGAATTCCCCCAACTGACCCTAAAATGCCTTTTACAGCTGGGCCGTTTAAACTGGAATTCAGTTGAGAATCATGTATTGCATTTAATTGGTTGGTCTGTTAAGACTCATTTAATCTAGAATAGTTCGTGTCCTCCCCCAGCCTTCCTTTGGAATGACCTGTAGCTAGGTGGTCTCACCACACTTGATCATTTCCTAGTGGTATCATCAATTAATGAATTAAAGTGTACTTTTTTCAAAAAAAAAAAAAAGAATAAAGGTGTTATGTGGAAGACGATGTCATGTTTTCTCTACAGTCTAGATTTTGGAATTCTAGACTTAAGTGTGCTCCTATGTGGTGGGGAAAAAATTTCCTCTGCCCTAGGAAGCAGGAGCAGGGCTAGCCAGGGAGGCTCCCTGTGGGGGCATTCCAAACTAAAGGTGAGTGAGCCATTTCTTTCAACCTAACTTTGTACCACATATCGCTAGATATTTTCTATATGTCATTATAACACAATTTTTAGAATGATTCATTTCAATGTTCTAACCCAATCCTAAGTTCCCACCTTTGCATCAAAGCATTAAGAGGGAGAGGTGTCTGTGAATCAAGAGGTGAAGGTGGAGGTGGTTAGTAGTAGAATCCCTAAGGGGACAGGTACAAGCAACTAATAAGCCAGATTCTCAGGCCCATGCAAATTTAGAGAATGGTGTTTGATTTTTATTTGGAAAGCTGATGAATTTTCTGTTAGTGGCTATGTTAAAATGCATATTTATGTCTATGTTGATGTTTGGGTGTAGATGGAAATAGTGTTTATGTAAGAGTGAGAATGTATATGTCTTATTGAACGTACGATATATTTGTGAATGTACTGTGAAAATGTATGAATCTTCTGTGTTACTGGGAAGACTTCAGGGTCTGGATTGTATGTCTTCTATCCACCACCTGCCTGGAGGAGGAGGAGCATCATGCAGACAGATAAGAGACAAGGAGGCAGTTAAAGCCCATATGTTCTCAGTGCGTTAAAGGAAAGCAAAGAGACAACAGTCGGCCAGGAGACTTGCTGCTATCCCACCAAAAATTCTTTATTGAAAATGTCTGGACCCCCAGCCCAATCCATGCCAGATCTTCCTCATGCTCAGTTTCCAGCTGCTAATTTCTGAGAGCAGGTCTCAAGCCTAAGCACCTCTCTCAACTGCACTCCAAAGTGAGATTGATCCAGGACAGTGAAAAATGGATTGTCAAGCCAAGACTCTGCCCTGAGGACCCCACAAGAGGATGGGAATAAGAGAGGGAACCTCCATATTTCACTCTAATGACCAGCTCCCCCGTACCTTCTGCACTGGAATCAGATGTTGTCAACCTGAGACTGACCATCCTAGGTCACGGATCCCTAGAATTTTAGGCTCTGGATTGATAGTTTTCAGAAAGGAATATGAGATGCCAAAACATCAGAAAGAGGGGATACCATTTTCCTAGCTAATAATTTGTTTATATTTTTTCAATCAAATCAACCTAGACCATTATTAAAGGAATCCTTAATGTGCTGATCAAGATATTAATTACATAAAGAACTAACTAGAGATAATCAGTGTCTCCCAGTCATTAGGGACAACGGCCATTTTGAGAAGTGGTCCTCCTGGAGAAGAGGAAGAGAACACACTTCCACCCATGTCCTGCCCACCCCTGGGGTCTCAGGGCCTGGAGAGCTAGTTGTGTTTGACAGGTGTTGGTAGAGCACGAGCCCCAGGGGGACTTGTGGCTCCTGGTCTTGGTAGCCTGCGCTGCGGTGTCAGGAAGGTGAGGTCATAATTCAGGAGGAACCCGTCATTGTAGACATACAGCTTGTGGTCCGAGGGGCAGTAATTGATGCCCTGTAGTGTTTCCAGCATCTTGTCCAGCAAGATGCTGAGGGAGCGCTCCCGCCCAGTGTTGGTGTCAAAAGCATAGAAGATCTCCTCTTGGCGAGTGCTCAGTGAGCGTAAGGCATAGAGCACCCCACAGGCCATGAAGGCCCCTGACAGGGCTGGCTTGTACTGGCTGGTGTGCCAGGTTTTCTCTACTTCCAGGGTGCTAGTGTTGAGACGACTCACAACCAGGTTGCCCTTGCTCTCCTCAGTGGCATAGAGCACCCACAGCCCCTTCTCATCACCAGCAAAATCTAAGTCCTTCCAGGGCACACCAGCATAGGAAAAGCGATTATTATGGGTGGCACCAGGCAATGGACGCTGCAGCACTAGGGTATTGGAGGTAAGGTCGACCTTGGCCATGTCACTTGTGCCATAGTAGTTAAAGTACATAAAATTCTTGTACACGGTATTGCCACTGCCATCACCATAGCCCATCTTCCTCTCCTCATAGTTCTTCAGCAGCACGAGGTCATTGTAGGACTTGTACAGCCGGTAGTAGTCAAAGTACCTAGGCCAAGCCCCCCACATCAGAATCATTAGGTAACAGCAACAATATGCGAGGTAACAAAGTGCTATTAAAAAGGGCAGGTTAGTGTGCTAATTAACAGCAAGGGCTTTAGGATTAAACAATGGATTTTTAATCCCTCTTCTTTTACTTACTGCATACTATGACAAAATAATTTAAAAAGTAACAGTAATAAAAACACCAATAGCAACAGTGCCTATGAGGCACTGTATATGCATTATCTCACTTAATTGTAATAAATACACTGTAAGGTAGATTTTATCCTCACAAATTAGGAGGATAGGTCTCAGAAAGGTTAAGTAATTTGCTCAAGGTCACACAGCTTATAAGTAAAATCTGCAAAAGTGTTACAAAAGAATCTACTTTATTGACTATCAGGACTGACCAAGATGATGCAAAGAAAATAATTCATAGAATATATTTCTCAAAATCAGTAATCAGCAAATAGCAGCTATTATTTTTTTCTTCTTTGCAGACAATCTTCTGTATCTAGGCTCCACTGCCTTCCACCTACCCTGGAGACACAGGTGCCCTGTAGCAGGACATGGTTCAGGAGCTGGATTCAGGGAGATTTATGTTCGTGAGATCACTTTCTAAAGTCCTTTAAATCATCTCTGAATTATGAGTATTCTCATTTCTTAACATTGGGCAGTAAGTAACTCCTGGCTTACCCATAAAAATTTTGAGAGGATTCCAAAAGCAAATATACATGTATTTTATATGGTACAAAGTATTTATAGGAATTGGGGAGCATTATTATCAGTAACACTAATCTTTCTGAATTGAGCTTCAACTGGGGCTCTTCAATGACTGGTTCAACCTACATTCATCCCTCCCTCCTGTGACCTCCTACTGGACTGCGTCTCTACCACATCTCCACACTGACTTTGAACACTGTGAGCTGTACCTACCTCCCTAGCAAGGCTGACAATTTATTGAAGGGCTTATTCATCTATTTATTGATTCATTTAGCCACTCTTTCATCTAATATATATTTATCCATACCTACTATGTTGTCTATACCTTCTTATGTCATCCCATGTGATCTTCTCATATATTTAATTATCCTCATGTTGCATATGGCTAAGAATGAGTCTGAAATGTTAATTCCTTTCTCCAAGGTCGCTTAGCTTAAGTGGCGATACTGAGATTCAAACTCTGACTGGCTTGACTCCAAGTCTCAAGCTTGGCCGGGATCATGCTTTAAACTTCTATGCAGGAAGTTAGAATTCTAAGGCCCAGCTGTATAAGAGAAAAGAACCATCTCTGCGTTGCTATGGAATTAAACATTTCAGACAATGGGTTTGTGAAGGAAACTGAGGGCAGTCTGGGCGATACTTATCCCATGAGAGAAATGTTGGCAGGTGACCCATCAGGCCAGGCTAAGTTTGCTCAGGGGCACACCTTATACATAGAGAAGAAGCTGGGCTAAGATTACAAAAACCATTAGGGTAAGGTTAGGGGCCATACAGAATTGACCTGGTTGCAGAAGAGGAGTCTTCCAGGACTCACCTGGCTTCTATACTCAGAGGGGCCACCCAGTAAAGGGAAGAGGCTGGATTAGGTGCTGAGTCTCGGCCCCAGGCACCTGCCTTGTACGAGAAGCCTCTCCAATTGAGCTGCACCACAAGGGGTCTGCTGACTTTCTGGAGGCCTCCATGGGCACAGGAACCTAGAGGGGAGAACAGGCAAGGTATGAGCTAGGTGTAAAGCACACAACCTGCAGAAAGCAGTGTGAAAGCATAATGACCATGTGTGCATCAGAGTGTATGGCCCTGTGCCTGAGTGTGTATACAGATACACAAGCAGGTTGATTTTGCATGAGTGGAGGTTAGTATGCATGT